TTCTTCGATGTGTTGAGTCAACTCTTGATGCTCTTGTGTCGCACTTGATCCATGGTTTCTCAAAGAGTAAATGTTGTTAATGGTTCATTTGTATTGAAGGCAATTGCTAGTCCCAATTGATGCTAGTTGAGGTAACTTTAGGATAGCTGAAAATTTCTAGGATTTTTCCTTAAAGGTGTGGGTCTTATTTTGTTCGCTTGAGGACAAGCAAAAGCTTAAGTTTGGGGGAGTTGATAACTAGGGATTTTGACGCATTTTATACTCTTCCTGCTTACACTTTGATCAAATATTCCTACAAAATAGTCCCAAAAGGCTTACGAGTTGTGCTTGATTGCAGGTTTGATCAACAAAGTGACAAAATGTCAAAGATCGGCTCAAAAGGAGTGAAACTTGCACAAGTACCAAAAACAAGGCAATCTCATGCAGAACAGGCCCAGTGCGGCCGCACACCACTTTGTGTGGTCCGCACTAGAAGATTCAGAGAGCTGATTTCCAGGCTTCAAGGTAGTGCGGCCATACAGCATTTTGTGCGGTCCGTACTGAAGGCACCGCGGCCGCAGTCCATTCTCTGCGGCCTGCGGTGTGAAGATTTAGAGAGATCACTTTTCAACTTTGTGCGGACCGCACTAGAAGCCTCCGCGGGCGCGGTCCATTCTGTGCGGTCCGCGGAGCCCAAGTTCAGAGAGATCAATTTTGAAGGCCAAAGCCCAGTGCGAAACGCGGTCCATTTTATGCGGTCCGCACTAACCCCGCAAGGGCAATTTTGTCCAGATTTTTCAGCTTAGTATAAATAGATTCTTTTTCCATTTTAGGGCATCAGATATTGTATTACGTAAGCTGAGCTCGTGAGAAGACTTTTCTTAGCCATTTTGGGCACTTTTACGTAGTTTTAATCACTGAATCGTTGTATTTACTTTAGTAATTAATTAATATGTCTTTCTTTTCATCTATTTCTCTGATTTTCTCTTCAAGCATGAGTAGCTAGACCCATTAGCTAGGGTTGTGGCTCAATCCTAGTGTGGGTAATTGATGGGTGTTGTGATTTAAGGTTAGATTGACTATGAGTGTTTGTTATTTGGGTCAATTTTATGGTTTAATTTATGAATTAGTGGTTGCAAACACTAGTTTGTGCTAAGTTGACTTGGGCTCTTCTTGAGAAAGAGAGCCTAAGTCTCCAAAATTGACTCGACAAGGAATTGGGATGGACTCAAGAGATTTGATAGTCCCAATTAAAGGGTTAAACCTCGAGAGAGTAATACCCGACTTGAACCCTAGTTGCTTGGACAAATATGCATACCCAATTGGTCTTGAGAAAGTCAATTGGACAAAATCACTCTTTCTACCGAGAGGTGTAGAGTGGGTAGTATCGAGCAACGGTTATAACATATTCCCCAATCATGTCAATCGTGCTTTGGATGCAAGTACCTGTCAATTGGCCACCTAGGCGAAAGTCACTACCCTAGTGCCTTTTAAACCATTAGATACAACCTGCAATATTTAACTCTTAGCTTAATTTACTATTTGTAGTTTGTTAAAAGTAGAATTATAAAGAAAATCCCAAAAATGTTGAGAAGTGTAATTAAGAGAACATACGCATTCCTAAACTAGATAGATACTCGACTCCAATTCTAGCTCTCTGAGGATTCGATCCCGACCCAAAATCGGGTAAAAGCTATTGCGACCCGCTCTTGCTACTTTTTAGTACTGTGGAGTTGGCAGCGATCAAGAGCTACGCCACCCAAAGTACTCACGATTGGTAGATAATACTTAGGCGAAATTATAGAAGGCATAGCGGGAAGGATTCCGACAATTGAAAAAATTATAACTCTAGACCTCCTTAATCTTGTCTCCAACCCTTAGTCTTGCTAGTTGCTAATTCTACTGCTTTCTAGTATTTGTTAGTTAATTAGTTAGAAATAAACGTTATAATCTTTATAATTAGGAAATTGTTTGACTTGTGTTTCTTAGAAATATTGAACAACTATAGCTAAGCCTTAATTCTCTATGGGATTGGACTCCGGACTTGTAAACCGGATTATATTTGCAACGACCGCTTAGTCCTTTTTATAAGGTATAGTTGGGCGTGATCACTATAAATTGGCAAGAAAGTGGTAATTATTCTTGGTGTAACTCATGTGACTACTAAGAAATAATCTCACTAATTACCGTCTAAAGTTTAAATTTTGTAACCACCAACTCATCTTCTACAATTTTACTATTCCACTACCTTATTATTTATTATGTGAAAGCAAATTTATACCAAATAATGGTGTGCCTTCCTTGTATTGTGGTGTGAAAAATGTGTTGTACTGTGCATGAAAAAAGTAAGGCGATGTAGTGGAAAGAGAGTGAAAGAAGGAGAAAATATAAGTCTCCACCTTATTCTTTACAAAAAAGAATATTATTTTGCTGAGGGAAGGTGTTCATTTTGCTTGAGCTTTGGACTTAATAAATTGTCCAAAGTTTTTTCAAGTCATACAATGTTTTCGGATTATTGTATCCTGAATGGGACAAGTCAAGAGTGTTATTGGGATCATTTTCTAAGTATAGGAAGCAGAGAGGTTGCTAGTAGGTTTTTCTAAGTCCCTCCATAGTCCAGTCCTTGAGTTCTTTCTTTGGAAGTAGTCAGCCGTTCATTCAACACTGCTACAACCTCCGCACGCATTCGTCGACCGGCAGAAGTGCTTTTTCAGTTTGTTATGGGTTCCAACCCATGGACTTGGTAGCAGACGGTTCGGACGATGGTTGTGTCCTAGTACTTGAATCTCCCTAAAGAGAGCGAGATATCCGCACGTCTACATGAAGAATATTTATTTATTTATTTTTCAATTTTAATTTTCTTGTATTTTCACCAATACTTTTTTATTGCAAGTAGTCCATTTATGAAATTTTCAGTCTCTTTGTTCTTTTTTCTCTATATTTCAAAAAGTATCTCTTATTTTTCTTCCCATTTCTTTTGCTACAATTCCCTTTATGTTATGCAATTGCTTCTTTTACATATTTGGCTTGTAGTTCCTATTTTATTTTGTCAATTTAATGTTTTTATTAGTTTTCATTAACTTTTTATTTTCTTGAAGCTGATACGGTACTAACCAGTAAGATCTTTGGTGAAAGTTTAACAAAAAAACAATTACTTCCTCAATTTCAATTTGTTTCTTATTTCTGAAAGTATCTAATCCAAACAACCATTCTTTTCCGGAAAAACTATTATCCAAACATAAATTAATATTTAAATTTTTCAAAACATTGTTGAACTTTTTTGAAATGTAACTCTATCATGATGCTGACAATTTCTTTTTGGTTTATGCATAAGTTATTTCAAGCTTTCTGGAAATTAATTTGACTTATATCGCATAAGGCTCAAAAGAGGGAATTCTTTCTATCAGGAATGTTTCCATTCATAAAGTCCGGAAACTAAAAACTTGTAATTAAGTACAAGGAATTCCTATCAATCTTATGTCACTCTTTCGTGATGGTTGTTTAAATAAAATTAAAATATATCCAAGTGTGAATTGTTATCCATTGTGTTAACCACGTCAAATAATTGTCCCTTTTTGTTGAAATAACATTTCATCACAGAAGTATAAAATTAGTGTGAAACCAATATGACATGTAAAATTCTAAAAAGAAACCAAAGTAATATGAAAAATGAACAACAATTATACATATAGCGCATGCTTAGCATGCACTTTACATGTCTAGGGTAACATACAGCCATTAGCCAGGTCAGACATATATAGCATGTGCTATATGTCCCAATATTAAAATCTCTTGGTTCGACAATCGTCTTCCCTAACGGTCTTTCTCAATTTTTAAAACCTCCATAAAACCGCGGCTGAGATCCCCGCCACCCAGAATATTCTTTTGAGCCCGTTTGGATTGGTTTAAAAAGTGACTTTTCAGCAAAAATAACTTTAAAACCAAAAAAACTATAGTTGAGGTTGCCCAACTTATTGCTTTTGACTTGTTTTAAGCAGTTTTTAACTTATTTTAAATTTTTAGCACTCTTTAGCTTTGCCAAACACTGAAAAAAACTAAGAAAAACTTAATAGCTGATTTGACCATAGTAAAAGTCAATCCAAACACCCTCTTTGTTTTCATCAAGCTCAACAAAAGCAAGCGAGTTTTGAAGTACATTCAAGGCATAAAACAAGATGTTGGGCTCCAATTGTCAGAAAAAAAGAAGAAGATTTTTTTGGCACATTTGCAATCTTGAAATTTTCTTCAATTTGGATAATTTTAAACTTTATAAATGAAAAATTCGACTAATTAATCATAGGAAGAAGCATGCGTTTAGCATTGCATGGAATTTTTCCCTTTTTCAGTTTTCTTCTCGTTTTTCTAGCATTTTTTAAAAAAATTTAAAACTGTTTTTACATTTTATTTTTATTTTTCAATTGTAAAAATTAGACTTTTTTTACTATGCTAATTAATCTAATAAAAATATAAATATTAAATGAATTTAAAAGAGGAGGATTAAAATTTTAGAAAAGGATCAATATTATCCTTCAACTATGCTAATTAATCTAATTAGACAAATTTTAGAGTTTAAGATTCAATCATTAGCAAATATGGGTATAAATTGTCTAACTTTTAGACGGCAAAATATTTTTGACATCAAAATTTAATGGAGGATAAAAGTGATTTATTTTCGATAGTTGAAAGGTAATTTTGGCCCTTTTGCGTACTTTTTATTTAATAGTCTCCTTTACTAGACTTACTAAAAGAAGACCTGTTTGCCCCCAAGGAGAAGCAAAAAGCTGGAAATTCCACTAAAATTCACGTGGACGGCTTTTTAGAAAAAAAAAAAAAGGATAAAACTATCTAACTTTGAATTCTAACTTTCTACTAAACTTCCTTCTAGACGCTATAAAGTTCATATTTCCAACAATACCCCTTATCCTCCCTACTATTCAAGTTAGGAAGTCCAAACCAGCATCACAAACAATAGGGCTAAAAATGTCATTTCAATATAGACTATTTAATTCTCTTTTCCACGCTCTAACTTTCAACAATGTCCAATTTACAACTCCCCCTCTTTCTTCTTCTTCGTCGTCGTCCTCCTCCTCCTTTCTTTGACATTGACCCTGTCTGTCTCTTTCACACACTCACACACTCACTGCGTGTATATATACGATACATATATATATTATACACACAGTAGGACTGTTTGTCTGCTTGGAATTTTCCACCATTTTCCTTTGATCCACCGTTTTCTTTCCAACTATATATATGTGTACATTTTTTCTCAACAATTTCAAATACCAAATTTGTCACCACCCAATTGACTTCAAATAGCGTCTAAAAAAAAAGTTTCAGTAAAGCAGATGATTGTGGAGGCGGCGTTGGAGGTCTTAGTGCCGTCGTGGTGGGAGGTGAAAGTCACCGTCGCCGCCACGGCATTCATCATATTTTCTTACTGGTGCTTTGCACTCGGCGGAGGCGCTGCCTGCGGTGATGATCGCGTTTCCGTCGATGATTCCAGTGGTGTCGTCGATGATAAACAAAAGGTTTTTTCGACTGTTTTTTTTTTGCGTGGCTATTTTGAATTTATGTTATTTTATGGTTTTTTCTGTTTAGGAATTGTTGAAGAAATGCATATGGACAGAATTTCAAGTAATTGCTTGTTGTTAACAATTTTAATTTTAGTGATAGAGGTTATAGGGTATTGATTATTTATTCACTGGATAAGTAGGGCATCGAACCCTGCAGCTGACAAAAGCCTAGTATTTAAGTGGGAAATGATAAAGGGATGGGCCTATTATGACTTTGATCTGTGCGCCACTGACTCTCGAGGATTTCTCAGTTATAAGTCTTTTTATTGGGCACTGATGATGGGATTTTGGGGGTAATTTAGCAGTATTTTACAAGTTATTTGAGTGGGAAGAGTTGTCTTTTTTGGATTTACGTGACCGATCAGTATCAGTTAGTTACATGAAATTGCTTTGTGGTGATAGAAAGTGACTCTGTTATTGCGTGGTAGCACTTAGATAGAGAAGGTGAAGAATCATGGTGCATTGATACTGTAGTGATGCTTAATAGGAAAAGATTTCCTTTGGAAGTAGTAGGCCAAACTGAGAAAGAAGGCTTCTTTGGTTGCTGGTTTGAAAAGGTAAAGTTAGGCCTTTCTAATTAGGTTGCTCTTTTGAAAAAGCAAAACTTTGCCTTTCTACTTATTTCTAGGTAGGAAACAGCCAAATTCACTTTGGTTTTGCCATTGCTTACTTGAGTGTCTTGGTAAGGAAAAGATGCCTAGAATCAGGAAATACGATCGCGTCTCTGCTTGATTGACTTCATTAAATGTCATATTTGTTTATATGCTTGTTGAAATTGCTGCCTGGAAAGGGTTAGGCTAGGGAATAGTGGTCGGTGGTCACTTGGTCTCCTTATAAATGCCTATAAGTGTGAAATTACATTTTTTCTGGAGATTTTAAACTGGTTTGCGGTTGAGGCATAGTTGTAGTAGGAGTCGTTGTTATAGTATATAAGTTAGAGTATGTCCTAAACATTTCAGAAACCTAACAACATATTGTGGTATAATGTGGAGATGGAATGATGTGTAATGTGGCAATATTATTGTTTTGTGTTCTATGGCCTTTATATTGTGCAGACCACTGATAACCCCCTTTTTTTATTTCGTGAAACAACTAATGATAGCATTGCCTGCCTTATTGGCAGATGGGCAATCTTTAAACTTCATTGAATTCCCTAGCGGTGTCGATGAACATCTATACAGTAGTAAAATATATCATTCAGTGTTATTCTTCCGTGAAGAAAAAGTAAAAAAAGGCAGCCCGGTGCACTAAGCTCCCGCTATGCGCGTGGCATGGGGAAGGGCCAGACCACAAGGGTCTTTTGTATGTGGTCTTACCCTACATTTCTGCAAGAGGCTGTTTCCACGGTTCGAACCCGTGACCGCTGAGTCACATGGCAGCAACTTTACCAGTTACGCTAAGGCTCCCCTTCAAGGAAAAGTGAATATGAAAAAGTGGAATTTTTTTTATCGATGAGGCATAATTGATTGATTGATTGTGTAAGTTTACTCTTTTAACTCCAAAAGTTTGAATGTTGCAGGGTTGTTTTCCTTTTTCAGTGCGTCACTTAGGAACTCCACACTTTTTTAAAGATGAAAATTCCGATGGAGGTGCACTTGGATGGTGTTTATGAATTTTTTATTTTATTTTATTTTGAATTTAGAAAAATCTTTTGCTGGAAATATGTATATGACTAGTTTTTTCTTGTTCAAAATTATTTAGAAAATGATTAGGTTTGCACTACATGTCTGATTAGAATTTAGATGTTTCTGGTTTAAAGTCTCGACATATTATTCATTTCACCTTCACCATATAAGCATTACAGTAATATGACGAACATGTGCAGTAGAATTATTTATTTGGTCCATAGCAATATAAAAAGGTAAAAAAGGAAAAGTAAATTATAATTTTTCGCTTTGAAAAGAATAGCATAAGATGAAGGTTGAAAATCTGGAACATGATAACAGGGAGAAAGATTTGAAAATTAACAAGAAAAGATATAACAACAACAACAACAACATACCCAGTAAAATCCCACTAGTGGGGAAGAAAAGATATAATAAATCAAAAAAAAAAAAAAAAAAAAAAAGAACTCTTATTGGCTAACTGGAATAAGTTTGGAAAAAGGTTTCTTGTATAATTCAGGAAAACATTTCTTTGGGAAAAGTAATTTGTTGTTAGCAAACAGTTGTCATTTTTGCTTTTAAACCTTTTCCAGAAAATTTTCTTGGGCCAAGCACCAGTTGTAGTGAAGCTTATTGAATTAGAACTTACATATATGTTAGTTTAAGCTAGAGGACCCATTTTAAAGTTAGCTACATTTTGATTTGGGAAGTGTCTAAAGTTGGTCAATTTTACCTTTTTATGGTTTTATGTATAAGGCGAATGTTCCATTTCGAGAAAGTTGACGTACTTTGAAGTTTGAAGAACCAAATTAGAAACGAAAACCTCAATTTGAAGTGGAAGGAGTATACACTTGGTTATTTGTGAAAAAGCTAACTAGTAAAATTTAAAGCAGTTGGCAATAGATGTTTGGAGTTTTGAACTTCCCAGCTGATTAATATGTTTGAACATGTTAAAGGAGTCAGTAAATAGAAGAAATCAACCATGCGTTAATGATTTTTTAATCAGCCATGCATTGATGATTTTTTCTTTTAAACTGCATCTACTCTAGATTAAATGCGTTTATTTTATTTTTTGAGTATCCCAATATTAACCACTCTCCCAAACTACAGTTTAACAACGTATGAATCCTCCCAGATCATACGACCTAGATCAGTTTATGATGGTTGACTTCATTTGGTTTTGCGTTTGAAAATGTTTGATTTATCTTTAAATAGAAATTGTAAATTTAAAAGATCTGGGGAAAACACTACTGGTAAAAAACTTTTGAAAAGATAATTAGAGAAGACTACGTTGAAGAAGGCTGACGTTGACTACCTAGATAGTAAATAGGTTAAACAACATCGGAAGACTTGGTAATAAATCCCACAGTAGCTGTGAATGCCTTATTTTTCTAATCCACAAGAACTAGAAAGTAATCAGTGGTTCCCACCTGTTCACTCGCTTAACATAAACAATCTATGTTACGAAATCCTGATGTAATATACTGCCAAGTTAAAATTAGAAATTTTGGATTTGGAATTGACACATATTTTCTATGCAAAACATTTTATCAAATTAATCAATAATAATGTCACTCATCTCTTTGATACAGGTAATTTTATAATGGGCTGATAATTTAACATTTATGTATGTTATGTTTACTTTCGAAAATTTATGAGGAGTCACAGTTAACATGAATCTCCCACTTCACTGAGAGTTTCTTGATAAATTTTTCCTTGACTTGAGACTTTATGAACCTTGCCTGAACTGGATAACATTGAGACGGTTGTTTATTTAGTTTGTTTCCTTTTCCTCTTTTTGGCTTTTGTTTCAATTGCTCTCTTGGGAATTGTGATTGTAAACCTATTATCCATTTACATTGAGTACTTTCCGCTTGTTTGACATGTAGTTCTACACTTATTTTGCAGATGGGCCAGTTAAAAGGAGACCCTCAAACTAATTCTGCATATATAATCAAGGTATTTCTGAACGTGGTGCTCCTGCTATATGTTATCACTCATCTCTAATTGTGGTGTATTGTATTTTATTGCTAGTACTTACAAAGGTAACGCGTTATGTCTTGGGATTTAAATGCATGTAGCAGCTTTGTTAGCAATTCATAGTTGACTAGTGTTTTTCTATATTCCAGGTTGAACTATTAGCTGCTAAAAATCTCATTGCTGCTAATTTGAATGGGACGTCAGATCCATACGTAATCATCACTTGTGGCACACAAAAAAGATTTAGGTGATTGTATATATTTTTGTTATCCTGTTATCTTGGAGGGTCAGTTACTTAGGTGATGTTTCCTAGTTATATCTATACTTCCTTTTACTGCTGTGACTGCGACCAAGTTGCATTGTTGAAGAGGAAGCATGATGATTTTCTTTTGCGAGTATATATCTGCAAATTGAATGTCAATATATGACGGAAACATGAGAGATTAGTTGACTTAGTCCCTTCTGATTGCTATTAAAATTTATTTAAACAAGCATTTCTTTTGACTTGACGATCAATTTAAAAACTTTGTTACATCTTAGTCCTTTCATTTCGTTGAAAGTTCGTTCTAGTCTACTTCTAGCTGGTAAGACAATCTTCCTTGGTTTTCGTCATATTCCATATTTTCTAAATAAAATGATGACTATGGCAATATTGCAGAAATGAGATAAAGTCGTTTTGAGCTTTATGTTGGAGAAAACAGAAAAGATGTAATATTGGTGATTAATTTTGGTTTTAAGATAGTGTTGTGTTTCACTTCAGGTAATCTGTAGTAACAGTTGAAAGTCAACCACAGCTTCTCTGGTCAGCTGTGGGCATACATTCTTTTCTCATTAAGTTGGTTTATTGATAATGCGTACACCTAAGATTTGTTCATCATTCGGGAAA